TTATCTCTACGTCATCTGTCACCTCACCCATCCATCAAATAAAACTGGCGCATACTAACCTGATCGCGAGACGTTAGGTTACAAGTTCTCACACATAGGGTTGGCAGTTAAACGCAAATGCCATAATATGAACTTGGCATTAAAAGGAAGACTAGTGATGACAAATTGTGACTGCAAGACCTAGAACATTCTAATTTTTAATTAAGGGTTTATAACGCGGCATTCCCTTCCAGATAGTCTCAGAGGAGAATTCATCACCGCAGTCGAGAAGGTTTATTGGACTAAATACCGACTCCGCAGTTCAGGTGCTAAGCATAGTCGGAGAAGAGGGCACAGCGGTTAATCTGGTGTTCTAATCACCCAAGCTTTCAGTCCAGGACGAATGCACATATTTTGTGGAAGAATTCATGAATCCTAGTTTTAAGATAAAAAACCCGGTTAATGTAACATAAATACACTACTTAAATTATCTTTAGCTTCCACCTCCAGATTCAGATTTTTAGGCTAATGGGATTGGCTAGATGAGGAAATTTCATGATGTGTATTTTGGAGTGGGATGTCCGAAAAATACCAATGTTTTGTGGGAGACCAGTGTCCGCTTTTACCCTGTGAATTGACGATGAATCCCTTGATCGACAAGCATGATTTGTTAAAAAATAGTGTAACGCTTGGAAGGCGAATTTCGCATGTAGTATATTTTCGAGGTAGATTCCGATTGCATATCCACCCTGGAGATGGATGGCGGTGTTTTTCGTCAGGATCGAGGCGTCTAACTCGACAAAAAATGCGGTAGTCCAGTACAAATTTGGTTTTTACTTGTAGAAGGTTGAATTCTTTCTTCCTCTCAACCGACTAATCGGCAGGCAAATGAGTCGGTGCAGCTGTCCTTTTCCCGACCTCTGTGTCGGTATTGGATGGTGCGACAGATGCATTCAAGCTTGACCATAAGACAGTGGACAGTGTACAAGCGGCTTCCGGTTGTTTTGGTTAACCGTCTTTGGGTGGTTAACAGTAAACTGGAAGCAGGTCTATGCTGAATATGGGCTACGCAGTAGAAAGAGAAGTGAAAATTTATTTGACTGAATAAGTGAGTGAGGACAGGGATATTTCGCTTGCACAACGATTGCAGGATAGCATCATCACTTTGGACAACGTAGAGCCGTTCCCGTTCACAACAGTGCACTGCTCCACATCGTTGTGACTATGCCGCATGAAGGGTCGTTCAATCCCACCATCGGTTCAAAAGAATTTTGCCTTGTTAAAATGCTCTCTTTCGACATGGCCCGACTAGTGGGTGCTCGAAAAGTAGGTGTTTGCGGTGGACCGCAAGAGCAGAAGGGATTGGAAAACGGAGTTGTGTAGGTGAAATCACCTTCATACTTCATCATTCTGTAGGACAATAGCTTTTCGTGAAGCCCTAAACGAAAGAAAATGAGCACTTTCTCAGCAAACAGTGAGGGAGGAGCCCAATTGTAGTCCGGCCGAGAGAATGTTTCTGCAAATAGACTGTAGTGTTAAGCCAACCAAATTTATTCTGCCTATATGACAGTTGATCTAAAGGTAACATTACTCCTTTTTTTCATGGACGCAAATAAGAAAGTAGTGCTGTTTGCAGAGAGCCATCTTCCACTTCCAATCAAGATTGGCAGTATGGTAGCGTATACTACTCAAAACAAAACAATTCAGTAGTTTGCTCAGACAAGTTAATCAATACAACTATTCACAATTCCTATCTTCCACTTATACTAGGTAGTCAAGAGGCGCTTTTCTGCCGTCATAGTGATCAACATTACAATATCCTCCTCTGTTCACTTCACCAAAACGCAATGTGAGTGTGAGGGAAAAGGAAAAAAGCCACTTTAATAGCAGTTCTTGCTTCACGTTTTCGTCTCCTCGGTTGAGACATTTGCCCAACATTTATTGAATGAACTTAATTGCTACTTCCATTTTGATGTTTTTACCAATTGATGTTTACGTTGGCACCCAACAATGAGCACCTGACAGCTTAGACATCCTATGGCTTCCCACAAAAATCCATGGCAGACTTTTATAGTCCTTCCTTGCTAATAGAAGTGTGATTAGGCACCAGAAATGCATGAAGGGTTGTCAGTACATTTAACATGGGACTAACTTATCTTACTAATAATAAACAGATTCGCAGCAGTAAGCGGACCAAGATGTATGACGGAAATTTTTAAAATTCATTTCTGTAGTGGGTTCATTCAATCCTACATCTGCATTCCACCCTGCATGCATGCCAAATGTATTTGTTTGGCGGCACTGACTTCAAAGCAGCGAATCATGCATGGCACTTCCAACGATCATTCACAATCTAAATGTGTCTGCCTATCATCTTACAATAATAACTAATGCAGTTTGCTCTAAAAAAATAACCCAGTCGGAGTGTGGTCATAAACCATCTCTGCATTCTACTTCGAGGTCTGGCTGTTCAATTTATGCTATCATGATTAAAATTTACTTGCTAAGGAAGCAATTCGACGAAAATACTATTGCTTTGTAATTTGGCATTGTGGATACGAAAGTCGGCATAGTTTATTCTTGAAGTCACAAACAAGTATATAGACAAGTAGCGTCTCCTAAAATATGCCCACAATCAAGATATGTAAAAAGTTCAGACGAATGGCCGAGAAAATCAAGCAGTGCAGAGTTGAATGTAAACATATCACCCTGCCAAGTTGAAAATCTACATCTTTATACGGAGCAGCAAAGTAGTGGCCTCTGTTCGCTTGTGGCTATTGTGCGCAAATTGCATTCCCTATCTCATTCGGACACCCTAACGTAATCCTTGTTGGTTAGCTACTAGCAGGGGCTTTGGATAGGAATTTTAAATTCGAGAATAACCAGCAACCACGGCACAGCCCATGCGTATGTTGTGAAGCATTACAGCGTTGTTTGTGCACATTTCATGCAATTTTGCGTGTGAAAAGGTAAAAGTGTCCTCATGTCGAACTTCGGTTACAAATGTCAAATAAACAAGAATTCTTGTTGGCTTGTACATTGCGATATTTCAGAGAAGAAATTGGTACGCAAATTGTTTGCCATCAGCCTTATTAATCCAAGTGGTGAGTCGAAACGTTGGTTGAGAGTTAACGTGTCCACATAAGATGGGCAAAACATTTCATCCATCAGTAACCGCATGTGAACAGAGTAAACTGCTTTTGTTTTTTCACTGTCAAATTTTGACAGTTACATTCCAAAATTCTCCGTGTGGCGATTAGAAATATTGCCTAAGCAATGTGATGCCTTTCCACTCAAATTTGCAATTTTCTATAGCCTTATGACTGGGCTAAACCGACTTAACTATCCGAAGCACTAATAAATAAATAAATTTCGGAACCGTGTAAAATTTGTAGCGACTCGTCGACTTCCTCGCCACTATCATTGTTTAGAACCGTTTGATGTAAACATTAAGACCAAGAATAATTAGTAGCCGAATTTTCATCCACAACCACTTGAACAAGTGGCGATTATTCGACTAGTGAGAAATAAATACCAACACTGGGAGAAATTAAAAAACCCGAGTGTAATCAGTTGACATTCCCCTGCTTCCATTTAATTTTATCAATCTTATTGATAATGTGTCTTGCGTATATCAGCGATTTCGTTTTTGATGCTATTTTTAATTACATATACCCATGTAAACTTAAAGTGTATGCCGATTGGCGGTGGGGGTTGTAAGTTGAGTTAAAAATAATCTAAAAGTCTGGGTGCCATTTAGGTAGTTGGAAAATATCCTCGCGTTGTAGCCTAGTAGGAAAGGGTTAAGCAGGGCAAATGCGTTGACAAATGTACTGACACATTCCAGAGGGCTACATGCTGAGGGTTTAATTTGGCAATACTAGTGCCATTTCAGTAGATGAACCGGAAATTTATTCCTTTGAAGCGAAGGCTGTGGTTGTGGCTTTGCCATCGCCGTGGCTGTTTGCCATGTTGCTTACCTTAGTGCGACGGGTCAAATGACTACTGCCCGTCACACCGACGGTCAGAGTCCTTAAGAAAGAAAATACCAGGCTTAAGAGCAACAGGGGTGTGGTCTGCTGTGATAAGTACACTTTTGCTATACCAAAGTTATTTTTATTTATTAAAAGACATAAAATTGAAAATAGATGTTTAACCAACGCAATATTTAAATAAACGTTTAATGCCATCACGCCAGTAATCGCTAATTCCAGTACCAGTTGCCTGTAGCAGTTGCTGAATAAGCTGTGCTAAACTCTTGTTTACAGTCGCTTTAAATTAATGACGCCAGATACTCGGATTTTGTTGCTTAATGTTTGGGAGAAAATTTCTTGACTGGATACTATTTATACGCAAGTGTTTATTATCTTTGGTCGTGTTAAAACGAATGCTTCACAGTCATGTTGTTGATTTCTCGTGGTGATCTAGAACAAGAGAAGTCGAAATGCAGAAAGGATAACCTGGAAAACGAATGAAGGTGGCTGCACAACTAGGCAAAATTACTGCGTGTCAATGCTGTGGCATAGGCACACCCGTGAAGAGCAACAAAGGACCTTCAAAACCACCCCAAAATGTGCAATTGTGACTCCCAGTTGGAGATTTATTACTCGTAGCTACTTTATTTGGCAAGTGGGTAAAATTTGATGCAATGACAGCACCGCTGGAGTAGGCAACTAGTCATTGTGACAGGTTGATTTGGATTACAGCCTGAGTACAAGTGTAGGCACGGCAAGGCAATGTTACTGTTTGCACAGGTTTTTCACTTCCTGATGAGAGACTCAAAAATTACCCCACGACAGTGAAGCGCACTTTCACCTCCTATTTGCGGAAATGCGTCTTGAAAACTGCTGCGAAAAGGGCTGTAAAGACGATGTAGAAAAGAATTTGGATTCTAACAAAATGTTTTCTTGGACTTCAATTCTCTTCTACTCAGTAATACAGCCAATGGAAAAAAGGCAGTTTTGCGTATTTGGAGGATAAGTAAATCAAGCGGCAAATCGTGTAATTAATCTGCCAGAACAATGATGCTGGAACAGGCTGAAATCAAGCCTAACGACATGGTTGGCAGAGGTGTAGAATTGTGTGCTATGTTCGCACATGGGTGTAACGAAGGCACAGGCCCTGCGGGTGTACCGCTGTCGACTGATCATCCAATCATAATGGAGGAGGTACTTATAAGTAGACAATTCCTTGAAATTATGAGTTACACACTCCTCTTGTATCTGAGGGCCTGTTCAAGAATTGTCGATGCCGATTGCGATGTCGTCGTTTTCGTTAACGATGCAATTCGGTTGCTAGGGTCACCACTTTCTTCGTTGGAACAGACTCTCACCAAATATGCGAAAGTACGTTTGTCTTCAGCGCATCCGATCGGTAATAGATGTTCTTCTAACCAGCCAACAAGGGGATACTTTGGCTTTCAGGTGAATCCCAAATTACCCGAATCTTGTGAGTTCATCCCATTCCCTGATCACCCTTGCCAAAGACTGGTGAGTGTCTACAGTTAGTTTTAAAAAAAGACAGTTTTTGGCCATGATTTTTACTGGAATGATTGCCGATGCCCTTCAGCTCGATGTTTTGGGTCCAATTAAAGACACTGAAGCCATTTGAGTGTTCGAGCGTCGGTTTAAAATGTCAGCCACTTTACAGTGTAGGGTTATCCCAGTGAATGTGACGTGATGAATTAAAACCTACCGGATTTGTGCACAGGATACCTGTAGTCCCCTTAAACCCCTCATGGCGCGTTGGTGACTCTCTTGTCCCGCATCACGTGGTCTTAAATTTTCACGGATTCCAGGCATTGGTTCCACAAATTAGGAGAAATGAACTTTGACTTACTGAATCCTGTAGAGATGCACTGTTCTGCATTTAAAACATATCTGGATTTCTAATTTTATTATGTGGGAATGCAATACTAACTCATCAGTTGTCCTTTTTAATATTGTGGATTTTCGCCCCAACTGGAAAACTTGATGGGGATACTGCAGACAGTCGTAATATTTCGGATGCAGCTTCTAAAGCCATCAAAATGTATGTCAACTTTAATTAATACAAAGTAGAAAAGAGTAGATTTTCTCAAATATTCCCAAAATTCTATTAATATTTGTCAAGGGAAGTATGAGTTTTGAGTAGGCAGATAATTTTGTCGTTATAAGTAGGTGGTGTATAAGCTGGACTTTCCCCTTTCAGGACACATCGCATAGGCTGTCGGAGACCACTCCTTGTACTCGGACACATTACGTCGAGACCAAAAGACGCTGTCTGGATGAAAAAAGATTTTCCTCTGCTCAATGCCATTCTTGGTGCTATGCATGCCCTCTATAACGTAAGGCATGCCTTCCAACGTACCCCAAATGTTGTCTTCTTCAGCCACTGGAACTGCGCAAGGCATTTCCTGAGAAAGCGAGGAAGTTTGATGCTCTCTTAATGTTTGGTGCTTCGAAGAGTATCTTGAGGGTGGCCTACGCGATGGAGGAGGGACGACGCGTAGCCTGCGACATCGCCGGTTCGGATCCAAAGCGAATGTCCGCTCCGCCAATTGTCGAGTGCGAAAAAAGTGAATTTGCCTCCACATCCGTGGTGATGATGCAGGTTCGGGAGATCAACATTTGTGCATATCCTCTCATGGCAGCTGTTAATAGAGCCGCTTCGGGTAGGACAGCTGCTGTCTGAATTTAAACTTTCGATTTTTGCGGTAACCCCTAAATATCCCACTTACTTTAGGAGTTGAGCGGCACAATGGAAAGGTGGTGCACTTGACTTACGAGGGTGCTTCACCGGCAGACACAACACTCTTTCTGATTGGCAAGGGCATCACCTACGACACGGTTGGGATGGATGTGAAGGCGGGCGGCGTGATGGCGGGTATGCACAGGGACAAGAGTAGGGCCGCAGCAGTAGCAGGTTGTTTTAGGATCTTTAGTCTACTCAAACCGAAGGGCCTTTCAGTACATGGTGCAATGGCCCTTGTGCGCAACAGCATCGGTTCCAACGGTTACGTAGCTGACATGATCATCACTTCGTGTGCAGGTCGACTCGTCTATGTGGGCAAACACCAACGCTCTGTGCGGCGAAAGAACAGGTTATGTAAATGTTTGCACCCCCTATCCACAATTAAATTGTCGTCTGTATTTATGAGTTTTTATTCTGCCATCAATTTCCGTGAGTCGTCTAACATACATAAAAGCACTAATTCCAAGTTTTCCACTCTCTCTCTTTCATTATATCCGGAAATCGGAGGCTACAGCAGACCGTCCACGTGTAGTTTTGGTACTTCACATAATCATCTTGCCACCAGTGCCTTTATTTTTCCAAACTTTGTAATTGTAGGCGATGAATGCCGTTAATCCTTTTCTATTTACATTCGCTACTGACTGGCAACGGGGTTCGCTCATACAGTTGTTACATCGTAAGATGCGCATTTTCTTTACATCATGTCTTGTGCAAACATGGGCAGTAGAAATTGTATTCCGTCCTTAGGCCATCATGGACAACGGTCCCGCACGCAAGCCAGGCGTCGCAAGCGACCTACAGAGAGCAGGTGATCAAGTATCTGACATGGCTGAGGTGCTAATGGCATAATTCCTACTTTCATTAACGGTTCAAAGAACTCCGGAAGGGCTACGTGTGGATGTTTTGTAAATCCAGATATCAACGTTTCGCAGAGAGGACCGTGAAGTAGTCAAGGGTCATAGCGAGTGCGAAGATCTCCTTCAATGCAATAATCTCCCAACTAGCGCAACCCCTCGTGGGCACTAGTTCTCCGCCGCCTTCATGATTGCTGCTGGCGGTTTGGATGAGGTCAATTCCTTCTCTGCTTCCACAGCCGAACATATGCCCTGGTAGATTGTATTCACACAAACAGGTGTCTTTCCTATAAACGAGCACTCATGCGGGGAAATCGTAACGCACTGTATCCACTGACTTTGATGGTCAGTTATTCTCTTGTCTTCCCTCATTACTTAAACTGTCCTTCGGTTGTGTAGCACGATCTAGATTTGGAGAAGAAACATCTGCCCTATACCCATCTCGACATCGCCGGCAGCGCTGGTGGCATTGACGTCCTGCCGAGCGGAGCCCCACTGCTAATGTTTACCAGTATGTACGTCCTCCCCCGCCTCTGAGATCGACGACCTGCTTATCCGTCACTGGTGTGGATATTGTTATATTTTGAAATGTTCGACTATGATTGACATGTGCACCTCAAACCTTTCCTGCTCCATCCTGATATCGGTACTAGAGGTATCCTTCTGTCCCAATTAATTTAAATGAAAAAAATGGGGATTTTAGCATTCGAGTCCTTCGTAAGGAAGGATGATCAAGGAGAAGGCTTTAGTATAGGTCCACGGAAGGGTTAAAGAACTGGCGAAAAAACAGCGAATGATCATAACACCTGCTTTGTTTTACAGCTCCTCTTCTCGAGTATTCTTTGTGTTCGTATATCCATAATAGTAACCGCTACGTAGTTTGGACTTTAAAATTACCGGCAATTGGGTCCATTGTACAGGCTTGCACAGGCGAAAGACTCAGCCAGAAAAGGCTGAGCGACAGTGCGGTAGCCAGTAAACTGGGGCAGTTAGCCTCAGAGACGAAGGCTTTTAAAAAATTAAAGTAAATGTTTGGTGAAGGTATACTTCACACCTCACATTCTAGTTGCTACACCATTTAATACCAACCGAACCACAGCCATGTCAAACCGATGTAATGCAACACTTGTGCATCCGAGCTCAAGTTGCTGCATTCACCAACCTCTTGCACCAAATGGAGGGTGGATGTCATGCAGAACCTCAACAATACCCCATCTATCAAGAATGATCGACACCACCACCTCCGCATCTACCACCCCATGTTATGTACTCGACGCAGAATTCACATCCGGAAATGACACTCCACAGTCTCAAAAAAACAACACGCTCACCAAAAGAATCAACAGCAGTACATCGAAGTGGGTCATTACTACTTACGTTAGGCAGAGCGACACATCACTACGCAGGCACCACAAAAAATGAGCCTATGGTATACTCGTGTACCCCTTTTACGAAAAAACACGCAGTAGGAAAGCTTAGAGATCCGCACTCGAGTGCGTCAGCAGGGTGAGCAGCAGCAGCACCCACTACCACAACTCCACTACTTGGTGAAGCTGCCACCCCAACACCTCCAGCCCGCAAAACAAACGCCCGTCAAGCGACGGCCTTAAGGCCAACCCCGAAGCGACTACCTGTCAACACAACTAATGTGTTGACCCATCATCCGCATGCCACGAATACGACAAGCCCATCTTCTCGCCTCAGCTCGACAATACACCGCCCACCATTGACTCAGAGACGAAGAAATACCGACCACCCCACTCCCGAGCAATCGCACCAGGGTACGGCGACAACCACGCCACCTCTCCCTTCCGCCTTTTAAATACTATAATCTCACCCATAAACACCTGTACCACAGCAGCGGTGATGACCCACTTCGTCGCCGAAACAGACACTCCGCCAGTCGGTGTCAACGCGATAGGCCTCTTCCACCAACCCAAAACCGCGGAGAGCGCAACCTCCCAGTGGCCCCTTCTCACTCGCCTCTCCACGAGACACCAACACTGCTCCCCTAAAGGCCAAAATTCACGCCCATAGTGCATAATACCAATGACCTGGAAATACACCAGTGAATCGACATCAGTAGCATTAGACATGGTGACAAGCTGGAGGCCACTATTTCACCTACCAAGCGCCATTGCCGTAGCCTCTAAAACGCTAATACAAAGCCATGATCCTCCCAAAACCTGTTGACCGAACCATCGCGGACCACAAGTTCTGTCATCTCATGAGCCCGTTCAAAATATCTCCACTGCCATCTACCTCGGGGCACCAAACAACCTAACTCCTGACATGAATACGTTCTACACCACGTGACAGTCGTTAGGTGGCATGACTATCTCACATCCATATCATGGTCAAGACGAACAATATTCACCATACCCAAGCACCGATGAATGTCCATAATTCTGTTGAAATGCTGCAGGTGCGAGGAGGAAAATACTTTGGGAAATCTCGACGCACTCCACCATAGAGAAAGGCGCCATCCAGGAATTTCCGGGAAGATTCAATGTCTGCAAGTCCCGAGATTGGGAGACAGAATGCAGTGGGCAGAGCGATCAAGTGTTGCTCTGTTAAATATTCCCAAGCTCCGTCATCCTCGCATGCTGGCCACCGGCAATATGCATAGTCGGATGTCTAAATGAACCAGTGAAGGGGTTAAGGGATTTTTTATCACTTACTACCTATCTACCCATGAATATTGTCGAAGAATGCATTACAACGATTACCCGTTATAAGGAGACTCCATATTCACCAGATTCCAAAAGTCCCCCAGCAGACAAGCGATCCCGTCCTCTGGCAAGTCCAAGTAACGAAAATTGCTGGCAAGAGAAGAGTCGCTTGAAATACTCAGCAGTCTTCACCACGTTCGCCTCCAGATAGGGGTGAGTCAGATGCAAATACTCTAGAGACTTGCGAATTGATGAAAGTCGAGTCGCCTCCAGAGTAAAAATCTTCAATTGCAATATAGGATTGTCAAACCAATAGAGGCGCACATTTCTCACACGCAGACTCTCAGAGAAGTGAAAATAATTTTCCCAAGAGATTATATCTTCAGCTTTAAATTACAAGTTTGCCAACACCAAACATCTGCAAAATTTACATAAATGCGACAACATACCTTGAAGAATCCCCCACCCAAAAGCAAAACAGCCCTTCCACTAGTGTTTCGTCAATTTTTCATGGCACGAAGAAAGTGAAACAGCTGGTGTGTCAAATCCAGCTTAACTTAATCCAACCTACTACGACTCGAAAGTGCGAAAGCTCCACCTTACAACAAACAGCATTTCCAGCGGAGTCAGCCAAACGAATGGCAAACTTGCCTTCACGTATAGACGCACCATTAACTTCGATGGCGCTCCATCAAAGCTAAGCTCGAAAACATTAGAATCTCGATAAGCACAAAGCCTGACACACGTTATGCGAAGCAAACACATGGCAATGTTTGACTAGTTGGCGCACTCAAACAAAAGGTAAATTTTTGTGCTACAAAAACGAGATTTAATGCTAAAACAGAGTCTAAACCTAGGGTTATTCTCTTCAATTATAATATAATAATAAACTAACATTTTTCTAAGAGAAAGTATATATGGACTTAGGATGCATGAAAGTCACACCTATTATAATTATGCATTATATCATAAGTTCTGCAATCCCTATAGAATATTAAGTTGTTTTTTACTATAGTTTGTTTTTTTTGTTGACTTTAAGCCTTTCCTTATTTCTGGACACTCATCTGAGTCATTTAAATCAGTGGGCGCGCTATTTGCTTGCGGTTTGGTAAGCAAAGGACTGCTTTGGTATGTATTATATTGTCTCTTGAACTTTGACACCCTCTTATTTAAACTCAGAATTTAAAGTTGACAATCTGTCTTTTGTACTAACATAGAACCTAGTCTTAATGTGACGCTAATGCTACGAGATCGCCAAATGGTGGCAGCTACTGTTTGATTTTTTTCTTGGAGTGATTTTCATTCCGTGAATTGTGTAGATCCATGTACCAAACAGTTGTAACAATTGTCGAGGCTGCGTGACACTCTTTAGAACCTTCCTCAATAGGTGGAGTGATGAATTTGCTCTTCGCTTTTGCGAGTGTTTCTTGCATGCTGTTTTTTGTCACCATGACATTCGTTTAAGTGTGAC